TCTCTTAAAAGCAAAATGATAAATGTTTAAAGCTAGAAGTATTCTTAAATATTTCTCAAATTATGTTCCATTGCACACTGTTGTGGGAAATTTTCATATTTCCTGATCAAATAAGTTTGGGCAACACTTAAGTTTTTCTTAGGGGAGAAACCTATTAATTTTATCTTAGGACTTTCCAAATCAATTTGCGTACTCTTATATAAGTCTTGTGGAACAACAACTTGATGTACATAGTTTGAGACAAAAGTTGACGTGGTCCATCCTTTCCTTTTATAAGGGAGGAAATGGAGATGCAGTGTGGTTCAGTGTGTTGCCTAAGATCACACAGCTACTAAATGGCAGAGCCAGGATAAGATGCAGTTCGTCCTTTGTACCATGCTTCATCTGGTCATGTTATGTAATATAAATATTTATTTTTCATATACTGTTTTGTTTTTTTTTCTTTTTTTTTTAAAGCCAGTCAAATTTAGCAGTGGGGGGTTGATTTCATATACTGTTTTGAAAAGTTGAAAAGCAGACTTGATTGTAGTTTCTTCTATATTCTCGTCTAGTCCAGTTCAGTCTTATTCTCTGAGAAATACATATACATTTCTTAAAATTCTGACTTATGTACATGTGAATAGCCTAACTTACTTAGCATTAATACATATCCATAATCACTTGTTTGTGTTTAATCATAGATGACAGAAGTAATTTTTTCTATAATTAATGTATCATAATGTTTGATTTAGTTTCTGTAGAAAATGTTTCCTGACCGCAATGAGAGAAAGTGGAGTACATTGTCCCCTGTGTCGTGGAAATGTGACTAGAAGAGAGAGAGCATGTCCTGAACGAGCCTTAGACCTTGAAGATATCATGAGGAAATTTTCTGGTAGCTGCAGATGCTGTGCCAAACAGGTAGAGTAAATGTGACATAACTCTTCCTCAAGTTTTTGCTCCTAAATTCCTGTTTGAATTTTCTTGGTAGGTGCTGTTTTGAAAAGAAAGAAGTTATTTTGATTGGGAATTGGGTAGAAGAGGCCAAAAAAGCTGTGACTATAGATCTTAGTAGGTCATAAACTTACTGAGAACTCAGACTGAAAAGTAAAATCTCTGAATTTACCATAATTTTTAACCTGGTATTTTCTTTAAGTAATTGCTTATTGATTACTTACTAAATTAACTAAATGAGTAAGCTGGCATTAGTGCATTTAAACACCATTCTGGCACAAATTAAACCATTAAATAATTTTTCTGATAGTGACATCATTATTGTGATTTTGCACACAGAAATGTTAATAATTCAGCCAAATGGATTTATGTAGTCAAGGAACTCTCTAGCTGCTAACGTATATATTCATCTAAGAAATCGTAAAATATTTCATTAGTTTTTAAGGAACATGTAGGAAAATCAGGTGTTGGCAAATAACCAGCATTAATTCTCTAATCCGCATTTTATTGTTCTGTCATTTGGGAGAAGGATTGAAATGGTGAGGGGATGGTTAGACTTTGAGTATATATCTGTGTGTCCATGAATTTATCATTGACATTTTTTCTAACAGCTAATAAAATCGGTGAGCAAAACCAGTTGCTATTTCATGCATTCACACAAGTCAGATCTGCTTTTCCACCTCTTTGAGGGAGGTGTTTAACTGACAGGGCAATGAAGTGAAGCTGGAAAACACACTT